TATACTAAGGGGCTACTTTTCTCAAATGTAAGTGAGTCTTGATCACAGATTTCTGGTTTGACTCTATCACTGTCATGGACCGTTAGCTGGAATCTTAAATGTTCCCTAAAAACTCATGTACTGAAAGAGGTGGTCCCTGGTGGATGGAGCTATTAGAGACAGTGGGGGCTTTGGGAGGTGAGGCCAAGAGGAAGGAAGTTAGGTCATCAGGGCAGCCTCGGAAGAGATACGGGAAGCGTGGCTCCTTCCTCGTAGTGTGTATCGGTCACCATGGTCTGAGCAGCTTTCCTCCACCACTTTGGCTGCCATGATGGGACCAAAAACAGTGGGGCCACCTGACTATGGACTGAAACCTGTGAAAGTGCAAGCCTCTGCAAACCTTTCCTCCTTTCAACATGATTGTCTTAGGTATTTTGTCACAACAACGTCAAACTAACATACTGACCCAATACAGATCACAACTTTTGGAATATCTGTTTTGAAATTTTAAAATCACATCACATTTCACAGTTAAGTTTGAAGCCTTTCCTTCTGAAATTTCTCTATGATCAAATAGAGAAAATGGCTCATTTTAGTGTTTTCTATGTCTTTTACCAAAGCTAAAAATGGAAACATGACTCTACTTTTATATTTTAATTTCTGGGCCTTTATCAATGGCCTAATGGGTCCAATGACAGCTAGAATTTGGAACTAAATTCATAAGGAGAAAGCTGATCTGCAAATAATTAAATTTGCACAGCAGTGAAACATTAGTCTTTCAAATTGAGGTCCATCAAGGCAAATGTTCACAGAGTGTTGGGAAATTTAGATACAATTATTCTTAGCTTCTTATCACATATCTACTTTTACCTCAATAACCTGAAAGATGTCCATTTGGCCTCAGTTAAAATGAAAACCACTTTTGATATATCAAAGCCTGAGAAAGAACATCCATTCTCAGCCTCAGGTTAACTCAGTTCCATGGGACACAGACTGTTCCAATCTTCAATACAAAACCAAACTTCTCCCTGGAAGCTGGAGAAAGAGTTTAGAAATGTAAGATTTACTTCCTTGTCCTTTTCTGGAGGAAGACAGTTTCAGCATAGCTATCTGTGTAGTTGCTGAGATGTGTTCCAAGATATCCTCTGGCACTGGAATACCCCTGGCTCCCATCACATACACTCCACACAAACACATCAGTGATATAAGCAGGAAAAAAGTGTAGACCCAAGTTAATTTCACAATTATATGAAAGAAGAATGTGAAAAGCTTTTGTAACTCTGAAGGAGGGACTGGGTGCTTACCAAGAGAAATAACTCTAGCATCCTTGTTTTCCATGAAGAAGCAGACAGAAATTTGACCTCAGAAATGGTGCTTTAATTTGAATAAAAGTTATCATATGTACTAAAAAATGAAACATGTCGTGGGTTTTTTTGTGAGTACTCTCAAGTTAATAACTATGCTCTTGACTCTTACTACCACAGTTTTAATGAGTACACTTGAGCACTCTAATATTAGGAGTTATAATTATAATACTGCTTGTATTATTCTGAGTCCTCGAAGAGGCAGGAGACAAGATAGGATCACTAGGAGAGAGATTTATTAAGGGTGATGCCTATGAAGGAACATGGAGAAGGAGCTAGAGGTGGCTGGGAGCAACATCAGACTTCAGAGTGGGTTTAATCCTTGAGAGAGACAGGAGGAAGAAAAGGCTTATACTGCAGTACGGAACTCAGAGAGATTCTTCAAGGCCATTATGGAGGTGTGGTCTGTGAGCCAAAATTATCCATCAGAAGATTTCCATGTGTCTCAGGAATGGGCTGCCTTACAATCCCCATCACACTTAATCTGGCTGGGAAAAGCCTGGGGCAGCATGGCCATGGCGTCAAGGATTCCAGAAGCCACCAGCGGAGGCTGCTTGGCACTTCTATACCCCGCAGTTGGAAATCTGAGAGCGGCGTTTTCATGGCCACCACAGTACTTATTCCTAAAACAGCTGCGGACACCTGTTCTGGATCATCTTTAAAAACGACTTAGCAAACTTCCCCAGTGACTTGTGCCAGTAAATGTACATCAGTAGATTTATCTATCTCTGTTCCTGAATTAGAAAGTGGCTAATCATTTCCAGATTCTTAAAGCCCCCTCAGAGAAAAAATATAAAGGCCTCCTCAAGTTAGATTCATGACTATAAATAATTGAAGGAGGCCAGGCACTTTTAATGTTATCCCACAGATAGAAAGCATTTGTGTGAAGCAACCCTCCATTTGGCTTAGTGATAAACTGGAATTACTGCAGCAATTGGATTCCTGCTGACAAAATGAACTATGTATCACTGGGAGCAACAGCAATTTGGAATTCTGTGTGTCTCTCGTGAGTGCCTGACAATTATGTATAATAGTATTTGCACACATTTATTATGTAGAAAGCAGAAAGGACCAGCTGCAGCAGTGCCATGCCAAGGGTATGGATTAATCTGCTTGAACACCATATAATACAATCCTTATATATATTATGATCCACAGATAGATAGGTAGATAGGTAGATATCCTTGGAACTGGAAGTGGCTTATTTTCCCCTACACTTCTTTTGGGAGGGTGGATTATCGGGACAGACTTTGGGTTTGGCTAGAAAGGACAAGGACAATAGGGGTGGGGCAGGGACTAGATGTTGAGGAGGCACCACAGTGTTTATACACGTGCTTTTAAAACACTTGCAGACGAATTAGACTCCAAACTCCTCGATATGACAGCCAAAGTCCCTCAAATCCTGGCTGAAATATCTCTGTGGAGCTAGAACTGTGCAAGTCCTGTTAACAAGTTCCATGACAATGAAGGTCTTGTTTTCCTCCAACTAAGTCTTTTCACATCCACATCTCCATGGATCCGGATATGGCAGAGCCTCCTATGTCAATGCCCTCCACTCACCTCCACCCACAAATTCTCCTATAGCCTTTTGAAAGCTAAGTTTTTGTGCCACCTTCTCTGCAAGTTCCCTGATCCCTTGATGAGAAACAGCTGTCTTCTTTCCTTTACCTTAAGGGACGTGCAGCTCATTTTACCCCTAAGGGATGTCTGATATCACTGCTCTGTTCATGTCAGTTCTCCTCTCTAGATTTACTGACTTTTCTACTTCTCAACCATAGAATCATTTCTGTCTGCACAGCACCTCCAACAATACATGTCCAGTGAGATGGTTGGCTTTCACTAAAGGGTTTGCTTTCCTGGAGGTAAAAGGAAGGGTGTGAGGTTCCCATCTTCACATGAGCAAGGCCACACACTTGGAGCCTGCTCCAGCCACCGCTTTTCATCCTTTGATGAAATCACCGCGCTGCCCCTGTGTTGTTTTATTCCCATTCCTCAGACTCTTCACGCTCCCAGCTGACACCCCCTTGGTGTTGCCACATCTGTTTCTGCATAGCTGATCCTAGAAGTAGATGCTTAAGGTCCTCTCCTTTGGGAAAAGAAACGCCATTACCATAACAATGAGACTGAAGGAAATAAAGACTCCTTGAAATCTAAGAGTCCCACCCAGCACATAAAAGAGATGCTAAACTCAGCTTTCCCCCAGCCCTCCGGACTCACTTCGGGGGTCCATCTCTTATATCCCTTCCCAAAGCTCAGCTTTTTCCTGGCACAAAGTTTGAGAACTCCAGTTGCTTGACCTAGCACTAATTTCTGTCCTCCAGTATTCTGAAAGTCTGACAGGTCATGTCCAAATTGTCTTCTCTGTGCCAGTTTCTCCCTGCTCATTCTTTTTGAGACAAGAATCATGCGGTTTTTTGTCAGTCAACGACTCGGTTATTTACTCACTAATTCAAGAGAAATCTTTTAGACACCCACTACCTATTTATTGATTCCGCAAATATGTATGTGTTTACTAGGAAACTAAGCCCACTGTGTGTCAGAAATAAAAGGAGGACCCAGTGGTGAGTGAAATACAGGCAGACTGTGCTCCTGACACCACAGCTTGCTGAAAGAAGGAGATGGAAACCAACAATTACACAGATAAATGTAAAATCACACCTGGGTGAGAAGTAAGAAGCGTAGTGTCTTGGTGTAGTCATGATGAGGGTTTGATTGATATAGTGTGGAGGATGGGGAAGCCGCTCCTAGGGAAATGATGACCGAGCTAAGATAATGGAAAAAAGTTTTCTAGAGGAAATTTCACTTTGATAAGAGGGAGAAATGTGCGCTCCTTAAAATGAAAGAAAATCAAGAAGTCCACTTGCGTGCGTGCGTGAGTGCGTGTGTGTGTGTGTGTGTGTGTGTTGGGGAAGCACGGTGTCAGGTAACGCCCGAGGGCTGAGAGGGCCACTAACGCAGAGCCCCGTACCTAGGTCTGGACGCCAGGCCGCCGGAAAGAATCATGTGCTTGGTTATGTGAAAGGGGCTGACTTGATTAGCAGTGAACACCGGAATGACTCTGAACGAGAGTCAGATGCTTCTTAAAATACAGGGAGGGTATTTTGGGGGGAATATCTGTTTTTAAACAGCGCTTATTTGTTAAAAGGCAGCTGTAGGACACCATGAAAGAAAACAAGTGTAACTTCTACACAAAGCCGCGCAGAAGCAGATTCACAGCAAAGCAGCTTATCTTCCTCCGCCTTCACCCTCCAACCCCTGGGTAGAAATTAAGGCAGTAGCTACCCTATAGCCGGGGCTTAATTTTCTTGGTCACAGTCGGGTCTGCTTTGGTGACGTCCCAGGCTCCTTGCTTTAGCCAGATTCCGGAGCAACCCGCGCCTCCACTCCTCGCGATTGTTTCTGGGTGCACTTCCAGGTGCTGACCACCAGGGGGCAGCGCTCGCCGCAGGTCGGGGCTAGAGGCAGCATCCAGAACCCGGGAAAGGAGCAGACGCCCTGCAGGCCGGCATTAGGTTACACTGTCACTGGGGGATAGTTCGCCCTGAATCTTGTTTATCAGAGACGTGGCAAGCGCTTTTCTCACAGAGTGTAACAACTTTCACTGATGCTTACCCAAGTAGGGTAAAGCCGAGCACCCTAGGTGCGGAGGAAGGAGGGGGACTGCATAGTGGTGGGCGGGAAACACCAGGTGCGGCCACGCCACGCCCCGCACCCCGCCACACCCGCTCACCCTACTGGGCTCCACCCTACCTGGGGATGGCCCTGCCTTGGTCAGCCCCGCCCTAGGAAGCTCCGCCCACCTCCGGAAATTCTTGCTGAGCCGCTGCAAAGCCAGTCCCCGGGGACCCCTGCTGGCAAAGTGTGAGTTTTTCAGTTTTGCGCGTCCTGGGGTAAGGGCGCTTGGCCAAGCACCTGGAAGGTGTTCCGGGGGTGTGGGGGGTGCGCCCCAACGTGCCTGCAGGATCCTCGGACCCCTTCCTGGCAGTCTGATGTCTGTTTTCTTTGGTCTATGCTTTTCTTTGGTTTCTTTCATCTGGTAGTACTTGCTCCTTTTCTCCAAACATTTCTCTCTCCTCTTTGCACTCCAGTCAGGAATTTGCTAAAACAAGTCTGTCCGCGCGCAAGCGCATTGTTGCAGAGTGCTGTGCTTGGCGTTCCGGGACAGATTACTCATCTGGAGTTTCTGTGTGTTTTTCCTGTCAGTCTGCTCATCTCAGAAGCGTTTACCAGGATCTGGCGCTCAGGCTTTTTTTTTTATCTCTTGTGTTCGCTGCTCTTCCCACTCCTAAACTGAGAGCTGTAGTCACCCGCGCGTTGACTTGTGAATTCATTTTCCTGGAGCAATATTATGAAAGAGGTGGTAGGTGGGGAGAGATGAATTCTATAGGAAATGAGGGGCATGCTCGGAAATGCCCAGCCCACAAGGAAGTGGCAGGGAAAAAAGTCTAGTAAATGGAGGGCCAGACATGGAGTCCTTAAAACCTGTAGAAGCACTCTGCAAAGTTCACCTCTTGGGGAGTGGATGAAATGTGAGAATTCTTATTAGGGTTCTTAAGGAAGGAGCTAGACTAGCACAGGGAAAGGCAGAAGATGGGGTGAGGAAGGATCACCGACTACACTGCCCATGTCATTTGGGAAAGTTGGAAAGGGCAGCGGAGGGACGGGCGCCAGCTTTTACTCAATGCAACAATCTGTGTTCCCCATATATTCTGCTTATCTCCAAAATCAGTCCTGCAGAGGCAGTATACTCCTTTATAAATAGGAAAACTGAGGCCTAAGTAATTTATCCAAAAAGAACACTCTGAAGAAAAAGCTGCAGTGACACGAAACTGCTTTTTAAAAACCCCAGAAACCGCAGAAGGCCAGCCAGAGAGAAGTGGGGATCTACACATTAGGGCAGATATAAATTAGTGGGCATTTCTAAATCATGAGTCAATGCTGTTGGCACAAATGCAGTTTCTGGCAGGTCCGTGACTTCCTTGTCCAAACATGAAACACTAATTCACTTCATGCACATCAACTTAATTTTCATGCTGATCCGCCAGGCTGTGCAAGATCCAGCACACCCACCTCAGGTCCTTTTCTTCCTTCCCTGGGCTTTCAGTCACCCTGGTGTTTCTCTTACTGAATGCTCATCCTCTGCAGTGCTCTGGTTTCAACTTCAATGTCAACTTTCTTACATAGAGGCCTTTCCTGTCACCCAAACTAAAGTAGTCCTCCAGTCGTCCATATCTTTTCATGGAAATTATCAGTTCTGTTTCTCTGTTCATCACCCTATTTATTCATTGTCTTTCCCCTTCTAAAATATTTGAGTCTTGAAAGTGAAGGCCTTGTCTCTTTTGTTTCCAGCTTTACCACCAATGCCACAACAGTGCTTAGCACACAGTGAAGAACCCATAAAATTTGGGGTATAGATGTATTCAATTGTCTGTTTTTTTTTCTTTTTCCTTCATTTTTCTCCATCTTCTCTGACCAACCCAACTCTGTGCTCTCCGTTGCAGCCACTGATAGAACCATGGCGACAACTCCCTCTGCTGCTTTTGAGGCTCTCATGAATGGAGTGACAAACTGGGACGTCCCCAAAGGCCCCATCCCCAGTGAACTCCTTCTTATTGGGAAGGCCTCCTTCCCAGTGATGGTGAATGACAAGGGCCAGGTGCTCATTGCTGCCTCCTCCTATGGCCAGGGCCGCCTGGTCGTCATAGCCCACGAAGGCTACTTGTTGCATGCTGGCTTGGCTCCATTTCTTGTCAATGCAGTGGGCTGGCTCCGTTCATCCCCAGAGGCTCCTCTTGGGGTGCACCCATCCTTGGAATCCCTAGTGAAGATCCTGAAGGATGCTGGGGTGGAGGCGCAGACTGTGGCAGAACCTGGAGAGCCCCAGGGAGCTTACTGCATCAGTGCCTACAATGACACCTTGGCTGAGAAGCTCCTCCAGTTTGTGAAAAGTGGTGGGGGCTTGCTCATCGGGGGCCAGGCCTGGCATTGGGCCATTCAGCATGGCTGTGACAAGGTGCTGTCCATGTTCCCTGGGAACCTGGTGACAAGCGTGGCTGGAGTATATTTCACTGATGTCTGTGGAGACCAAAGCAGGTTCAAAGTCTCTAAGAAGGTGCCCAAGATTCCACTTCATATCCGGTGAGTGATGCTTCCTCTTTAAGGATTCTGACTCGTGTTAAGCAACAGATTTGATTTCCCTTCTTCAGTGAGATTCCAATTCAATATGAATAATTTTCCACATAGTTTGGAATCACCACAAATATGATTATTAAATGCATCAAAGCATAAGTATGTGTCCTTACTGCCAGTCCCTCCATAATCAAACCAATAATCAACTGAACAGGAAAGCTTGTCTTTTTCACCAGTTTTTCTCCTTGTGCGCTACCTAGAACATAGAGTGCTCGTCGATAGCTCTTTAAGTGGCTGAAGGAATATTGTGTGAGTACTTAGTGTTGGCTCCATTCTAGACACTGGGACCTAGAAGAGACCAAAACAGACAAATCAAGGTGTCCTGAACCTTATATTCCAGGGGAGAATTCTGAAATTAAAAAGACAAATAGGAAAGTACTATATCCAGTATTGACGAGAGCCACAAGAGAAAATAAGGCAGGATGCACAAACAGCATAAGACGGAGGAGAGTAGAGTCTGTTTTATTTGAGGTCTTCAGGGAACAAATACCAGTTAGACAGAGTCAGGATACAATAGTTTAAACACAAGGGATTTGGGGCATGGAATTAAAAGTAGAGGTGATTGAAAAGCTAAATGGCACACAGGGCAAACAGGACATTAGCAACAGTGTGACAGATAGAGGGAGGTGGTAGAGTCAAGGTGCTATGGCTATTTGTAGATGCTGGGGCTATGCTAGGTTTGTCCAGCAGGGCTGGGACCACAGATGGGAGGTCTGTCTGGTGGGAGCTGGAGTCTTGGAGAAGAGGTACATCTTGAAGGGGATGGGTACCTTGGGTCCTCCTTCCTTTTTGCTTTGTCTTCTGTTTCTACTTTCTGTTTCTACTTTCCATGGGCTGAACACACAAAGGTTCAGGACACAAAGACATGTAGGGAATGACCAAGAAGGACAGGGAATGGATTTGAGCGCAAACAAGCAAATGGATGGTGTGGAAGTTGTCTCTGGAAAGTAAAAACTTACCAGAAGGAAGTGAGGGGGTGAACCATATGGGCATCTGTAAGAAGAGAAAGCCAGGTAGAGCATGAAGCAAGAAGGACAACCTGAAACAGAAACCAGCTTGATATCTTTCTGGAAGATTAAGAAGGCCAGAATTGGAGCAGAGCAAATAAGGTTAGATCAGTTGGAGGTGAGGCCAACTTAAAAACCGGTAGTCCATAGCTAAGACTGTAGATTGCATTTAACTTAAGATAAGAAGATGGTTAGGAGCGTATTCAGAGGATCGATGCAATTGATATTTTAAGAGGAACCCTCAGATTAATGGTAAATAGCTTATATGAGGCAAAGGTTGAAGCCAGAAGCACTGAAATAAACCACTTGAGAGCCGGTGGTGACCTGATGAGGGTAGCATCCATGGAGCTACTTGAAAGAGGTTTAATTCTGGATATGCTTCCAAAGTAGGTCCCAGCAATCCTGGCTGATGGAAATTTTTGGTGAGGGACTTAAAGATGCATCTTGCCATTCACTGAGTGCTAAAGGTGATAAGATAGATTATAGACCAGGAGTTTAATTTTGGATATTAGTGACTCATTGTATTTATCCACCTCTCTGTAGCAAAAGCTTTATTACAATAGATTAGCCCTGTAGGAGTTTATTTTTCTCTGGACTTCCTGACAAGAAATCCAGGCCTGTGGCCTCTGATGTTCCAACTTCATTCTCTCTGTCTCTTGCTTTCTACCCCAACTCTTGTGCTGTGTTGCTTTCATCCTTTGACCATAGATGACCAATGCTAATTCAGGCACTATAGCTGCATCCAGCCAGTGATAAGCTGGAATGGATACACAGGCTAGATCTGTCTGTTTTAATTCAGAAAATTATATTTCCTGGTATCCCTAACCATTAGACTTGCATTTATAATTTATTGGCCAGAACAAGATTCCATGGCTAACCTTAGCTACCACGGGGTCTGAAGGCCTTAAAGAGCGAGAGAATAGATTCATTCATAGGAAAATGGATACATATTGAAGGCCTAAATATTTTTAAATGAGCACTGGCATCTCTGAAGAAAACAAGACTCTTCTACAAGGAAGAGGGGGAGAATCAACGTTGAGTGAGCAAGGGCAGTGCTCTGGACCCTCTCCCCTAAAACCAGACACATGTGAAATTCCTTCCTTTCCAGGTGGGTTAGGAAGGTGATATAGTTACTACATCATTTGAGTGGATCTGATTTGCTATAACTTGTTTTTGTTTCTAATGTTAAGAAACAAATAGGTTAAGTCCCATCGGCAGAATCTTTTTAATTGCCCCAAAATGTTGCCAGATGGCGTAGTGTCTGAAGATTCCAGGCTCTTTCTGTACCACCCAGCAAATTGGCTGGGACAATCAAGAAGCAGTTAAACACAGCTTTTATTTAACATGAAACGAGAAGAGGGGTGAGGTGAAGAAAAGAGAAGAAAGGGGAAATAATTAAGAAGTGAAGGAAAAGAGAGGATCAAGAAGAGATACATCCCACCAGCAGGGTAGGCCACTGTAGAAACAGGAACGAGACTGCAATGGCACTGTAGTCAGTGGTGGCAGCCACCTTTTATATCCTTCCTGATATCCTATCCTTTGTGGAAGGTCCATCAGAAGTTGCTCTGCCATGCATCCTGGTGGTAGTTGACAGGTCACATCCCTTGTGGATCAGGTTATATAGGTACATCCTGTTTTCAGCCTCCTCTGAGTCTTTGGAATTGACAGCCCACATCCGGTCTTCCATCCCGCCTGTAGTATTACTAATCTCCTACCTCAAAAGGACTCTCCTCAGCGAACAAGGCCTGTTTTTACTCATCTACCCCTGTATTTTCCATCTCTGCCACTGAATCTAGGGCATATTTGGTGTGTTTTTTTTTTTAATGTTTAATTATGGAAAGCTTCAAACATATGTAAAAGTAGAGGACAGAACAGTGTACCACTGTACAATCTTCACCCAACCCCAATAATAGTCAACTATATATTTCACATATAGTCCCAGATCACTTTGAAGCAAAAAGCAGACATCATATCATTCCGTCTGTATTTTGATAGAAATCTATAAAGACAGGAAGCCTTGAAAACACAACCACAAGGCATATCACATGTTAAAAAAAAAACAAAAACAAAACTGCCCTAATGTTGTGATCCATTTCCATGATGGTCTTGTATTATTTTTCAAAATTTGTTTGTATTGGTATTTAAATAAAGCTTAATCACTTTGATTTCTTGATAGAACTTTTACACCTCATAAAATATGATTTTCCTTTCCAACTTTTGATTTCCTTATATTTTTTCAAGGCACAAGATAATCTATCCTGCCTCACAAGAAGAAGATACCAAGTTCAATCCCCAGTCCCAAAAAGAAAAAAAAGATAATCTATACTGAATAGTTTTTCCATTAGCCTAAATATTGCTGATTGCATCCCCCTGGTGGCAGTTAACATACTGTATTCCTTTCTCTCCTGTATTTCTTGTAAATTGGAAATTAGTTCTAGGTTCTACATCAGGATTGACAAACTAAGACCTATGGGCCAGCCATATGTGTTTGTAAATAAACTTTCACTGGAATATAACCATGCCTATTCAAAGTAAATCTTTCAACACATTAGTGATTATTTAACATACCTATGCAGAGAGTTTTCTCTGCATATTATTTATCTGGTGACTGGGGACTTCATAGCTGAAAAACAGGGGCCTGAATGCATAGTGGTCATTGACATAGGTTGAACTGTGTCCCTCAGGAAAATTTGTTTTTGAAGTCCTAACCCCCAGTACCTGAGAATATGGACCTTATATAGAAATAAGATCATAGCTAAGTGAGGATAAAACTACACTGGAGTAGGGAGTGCTGCTGTTCACTCTGCAGTTGCTTTCAAGCTATATAGTGGCAGAGTTGAGTCATTTAAGCAGAGACGTCTAGATCATAATATATGAGTGAATACATTTCCAAAACCATCACAAGAGAAAGGGTAGCCTGTTTTCCTAGCATCAAACCTACAGACAATATCATGTTATAGACTTTGGTGCCAAAGAGTTCAGTTTCAGCACACAAGTGAGCAACGATTGACTATCTCCTTTGAATTCTGAACTCCAAAAGATTCCTACCTCCTTTATGTGAATCACCTCACTGAAGTTTTCAGTGAACTTTCCTGTCAGCAAGTATTGCCAAGTCCCCTGGACTGATCTACCAACTTTCTTACTTCCAATCCCTCCTGAAAGGCTGTGAGTTCTGTAAAGAAATAGTTCTCTGCACCATCCAGTTTTGTATGCCGCAGGGAGAGGCACTGTCTGAAACCAAAAATAGATCTTCTCTTGTGCTGTCCCCAAGGGCAGGAGCTGACTGCACCCTTATGCTTACATAACTGAGGGAAATGCTCCAATTACTTTAATATTCAAAGGCAAATCCAAAGACACTTGCTGCTTTTAACCAAGACACATAGTCTGACAGACTAGTGCACCTAATTTCATCAAAAGCTCCTTATCCTTATACATGGTATAATCTTTAAGGTCTAGAACTTATAAGAAGCTGCTCTTACAAAAGTAAATACATAGTGGTAGCTTATGTCTATGACTCTCTTGAAGAGTGTATATTATTCTACCCTCACTGTACTGCTATTCAGTCAGTCGGTCTTTGTTCAAGGACTTTCAGGTTATAAGAATTTCAGTTCTGTTTTTCCAGTTCTGTCTTTCATATGATCCAAAAAGAGTTTCCAGGTAAGGATTGTGTGAAATGAGGCAAGATGGTGGACTTGCCCCCTCCACCATATCTGACAAAATGAGTGAAGATTAGTATGTAAAGAGTTGAGCAAGGAAGAGCTGAGCTGACCATCCATTCCTTAGCATTGGCCACGGACCCACTCAGCTTCCGAGGGCTGCTGTGACAATATTCCAGTAGCTTAGACAACAGAAACATCTCATCTCATTGGTTATAGAAGCTAGAAATCTCATAGCAAGGTGTGAGTGTGTGTCAAGGTTGGTCCACTCTGAGTACTGCACAAGAATCTTTTCCTTGCCTCTCTCCCGGCTTCTGAAGCTTTGCTGGCAACCTTTGTTATTTTTTGTGCGAGCATTACCCCCATCTCTGCCTTCTCTACCTGGTATTCTGCCTCTCTGCGTGTTTGTGTCCAAGTCTCATAAGGACACCACATACATGCAACTAGCAGTCTACGCTAGTGTAGCTTTATCCTCACTTGGCTATGATGTTATTTCTAAATAAGGTTCATACTGTCAGGGATTGAGAGTTAGGTCTTCAAAAGTACATTTTCCTGAGGGACACAATTCAACCCATACCAATAACTGTTAAGTATTAAGGCCCCTGTTTTTCAGATATACAGACCCCGATCACTAGATAAATATTCTCTGTGGATGTATGTTAAATAATCACCAATGTGTCAGATACTGTCTAGGCTATCTTACTGATGCTGTTAAACTCTCCCAGAAATACACGAGCAAGTGGTGACTTCCAAAGGAAAGTAGCTTTCAGAGGATTATCTTTCAGCAATTCCAAAATAGGATGGGTGTCACACCCTGACCAGTCAAAATACAGAGCCCATGCCATGGCATCCTTGCTGTTAACAGCAGCTCGATATGTTTACAGCCTCAAGACTGAGCCTTCAGGTGACCCAGTTCTTTTACTGCTGCTCTCCATACTGAAAGTTTTCTACCATGAACTCAAATTTCTACCATTAGCTGTCTAAAAATTTACAGGAAAGACACTTAGAATGGAATATTTTATTATCAGATCTTTAGCTCAAGGTCGTTGTCTCCCAGAATTCAGCTTGAGTCTCTATAGGAGGAAATAAGCCACAGGTCAATCTGACACCCAACCTCTTAGAATATTTGCCCTGTTATTTTGCAAATGCAGTAGCAAAACTAAGACATGACATCTATCTACTTATTTTTATGCTGAGGATGAATTAAGGAGAAAATGTCTGTACCAGAGGCAGTTTTTTTCAATAATATTTCACTGCTTAGGTAAACTATTTTGTTTTAAAAAATAACAGTTTTCTATTTTCAAAGAAGCATTTCATTTTAAACATTGAAGCAATAAAGTTTTATAAAGGTAATTAAAATAACTCATAACTCCAGTAGCCGGAAATGATCACTGAAGATATTTTGATAAATATGATTTAGATCCTGTTTCTATGTCCAGTTTTGTGTGTTTTCAAAATTCAGCTTTACAGTATAATATCTTAGAATCTAATTTTTAATTCTTTCCATTAAACATTTTCCAATATGGCCTAATAATGATTTTGATTATTAAACAGTATGTGATGTATGCTTCACCATTATTTGTTTGGCCAATCTCCACCATTTGACATTTAGTGAATCTACAATTTGGTTTAATAATATTTGAAATATAAAGGCTTTTTTAAATTTATTACATTTTGATTATTTCTCAAAAAAGTAATAAGTGCTCTTATGTCAGATTTAAATGAGTATTTTAAAAATAATTATTATTTTATACAATTTCATTTATATGAACCCCATAAATATCTGGTGGGGAAAAGTATATCTTATACTGTAATTATTAACCCGTATTGATTGCACAAATTAATGAGATTCACTGTGGGATTTCCATACATGCATACATTGTGCATTAGAGAAAGTTATATATGTGCATAAATCTTCACATGTGATAAGAAACAATTTACTTATGTGTTCCTAGAACAGAGCTAGACCTAGGCAAGTGCAGGTTGATGTTTTTTAAAACCATCTTCCTTGTAAAACGTGAACTCTGAGATGTTCAGAAGTGAAACTGCTTTCTTAAGAAATAATAGAGCCATTTTCCTAGATTTACTTGTAGGTTTAATTCTCTTAAAAAACATGAAATTCAAGCCAGAATGCTCAACACTTGGCTGACTAAATGGGAAAGATACTTGGGAGTCTTCATTTGGGGAATGTGGATTTTAAGATGTGGACATAAAGCTTTAAAGCTGACAAGCACAGTTGTGAGAAGTACCCATATTTTATGTATCACTGGGAAGAGCAAACACAGCCATTTAAGCATGACAATGCAATCAGTCGTAAAAAGGTGGGAAATATATGTTAGACTTGGTCAAATAAGTGGCACCACAAACTAACATAACCAGTGTTAGTAAGAGCAAGCAGACTGACCTGACCTAAGTGATGTTTGTCTCTCCGCCTATTGAGCTGGTTCAGGGACTCATTAGCCGGCTATCACCTCTTTATCTTCTTATCTTTTCCCAGGTGTTGGGAGGAGTTTAGGCAGGACCAGCAGCAGCTCCTGGAAGGGATCTCCGAGCTGGACATCAAGACCGGGGGAGTCCCCTCACAGCTGCTGGTGCATGGGGTGCTGGCTTTCCCTGTGGGCCTTGACGCCTCCCTCGCCTGCTTCTTGGCAGCTGCTCACTATGGCCGTGGTCGAGTGGTCCTGGCTGCCCATGAGGGAATGCTTTGTGCTCCTAAGTTGGAGACCTTTTTGTTCAATGCTATCCACTGGCTAGCCAGAGGCCGGACAGGCAAAGTTGGGGTGAACACAAGTCTAAAAAATCTGCATCCCCTGCTGTTGAAGCGTGGCCTTGAATGCAGCCTGGTGTCTCATCTAACCAGTGACTTGAGTGTATACTGCTGTGTAGCTTACAGTGACAAAGAGGCCAAAGAGCTACACGAGTTTGTGGCCGAGGGTGGAGGGTTGCTCATCGGTGGTCAGGCCTGGTGGTGGGCTTCCCAGAACCCAGGCCGCTCTGCTTTGGCTGGTTTTCCTGGTAATGTCATCCTCAACTGCTTTGGCCTCAGCATCCTGCCTCAGACCCTCAAACCAGGCTGTTTTCCTATTCCTACTCCTGAGAGGAGGAACTATCACTTCCGCAAGGCTCTGTCTGAATTCCAGGCTGTGTTGAACTGTGGGGATGGGAATTTGGAAAAGAGCTGCCTTGCAAAGCTGGGAGTAGATGGTGCAGCCTTTCTACAGATTCCTGCAGAGGGAGTCCCCACTTATACATCCGTGCACCGGCTCCTCAGGAAGATGCTACGACGATCAGGCCTCCCAGCTGTGAGCCGGAAAAACCCAGTGGCCAGTGATTCCTTTGAGGCCACGATGCTCTGCCTAGCCACCGAGCTGGCACGTTCTGGAACTGACTGCTCCCAGCTGGGCCAGGGGCTTGGCACTGGGACCTGCTCTTCTGGGCTATATCCCTCTGAGGACCCTATCACTGTGGAGATTGATGGGACAAACCCAGGTAGGGAAGGAACAGAAAGTGCCCTGAGTATCACAGGGTGTGGAAAAGATGGGATTGGCCTCTTCTTCAGGACCTTGTAGGTGCTGACCCTCAGAAAGGCTGGCTCCATGCTTTGTCCGGTACTTTTGAGAAGATGGGGGTTGGGGTTCTGCTTAAGGTTTAGGAGGGATGAGTACAGGAAGCGTGGATAATTGGGGTGAAACAGGGAGAGGCTGTTCCTGTGGAAGGGGCTGGGAGGCTCCGTTTGCTGAAGTCAATTAGGAGCAAAAACTGAGCTTTCTCTATGACTTGTCAGGCAATGGTGATTCCTGGGTAAGCACTGGGCTCTACCTCCCAGAAGGACAAAATGTCGAAGTCTGCCTGTCAGCAGCCACTGCCTCTGCTGGCCTAAAGGTAAGGTCGAACACAGTCAAGGTCTCCTCAAACACAGAGCCACCTCCTTCTCACCCATTGTCTCAGTCCAGCTCCCAGCAGTGCTACCAGGGGTGCAAGGAGGGATTATGCTGAGATTCTATAGTTGAAGCAGCTAAATTTCAGAGAGCCCAAGTGACTGAAAGTCACCACTGCTACTGTCAGACCCAGAACTCATGATCCTGAGCTTTCTGATTCCCATCTGTGGTCGTTTAACCTACTGACAGAAATGAGAAAGAGCAGCACCTGTTAAATTCCATTTCTCACCCACTCTCCTGATAACACAGGCCTCTGGGTTCTACTTCTTTGCCCTTACCCTGAAGGATATTTTAATCCCATCACACATAGATATATGCCTTACATATAGAATTTAATTTCTTCTGCTGCCTTAACTCAGAGTAGCTTCTGCTATAGTTAGGGTGCCTCTCTGTCAGCATTCTCTCTAGAGCTCACCGACCTTTAACGTAGGATACAACCCCAATTCCAGGCAAAACCAAAAGGGAGAAAATCTATCCTCTGCCCTTCAGACCAGATTTTGCTGACCCTTGGCAGGCTTCTTGTGCTCTCAAGAAGCAGTCCAGGATTCCCTGGCTCATTCCCGACACAGGGATTGACTCCCTGTTCAGGCCTAGCGTGACAGTCCAGGATTCTACCTGGAAAAAGGCCCCCATAAGTCCCTCCTGAGCCTGAGCTTTGGGTTATGCTTCAGTCTCATGTCTGATGGAGACCATTTGGTGCTGTTTAAATCCCTACAAAAATATCCCACAGGTTGCATGTGCTTTTAGTCTGTATGACTTTGGAGTGCTATAGTTTCATAGGTTGCTATGCATGGCTCTTGGAAGTCTAAAGTTTTGTATTTAGTCCCTCCACCCACACCACCCCATGAACAACCCCACCTCCATATCCCAGGAAGTCTTATTCCCTGACACATGGTGGGATCGCCTGTCCAGATACAGATTGGCTGCCACACCGATGACCTGACCACAGCCACCAAGCTGTCTCGAGCTCCCATGGTGACTCACCAGTGCTGTATGGACAGGATGCAACAGTCAGTCTCCTGCCTGTGGGGAGGCCTCCTCTACATCATCGTGCCCAAAGGCAGTCGACTGGGTCCTGTGCCCGTCACCATCAGGAGGGCTGTGTCTGCCCCATACTACAAGCTGGGTGAGTGAACTGGGATCAGGTAAGAGGAAAGAGCTACAGTTGCATGCCTAATTGGAGTTTCGTGTCTAGCACCCTCCACCCACAGACAGTCTACCCCCACATCCCAGAGACTTGTCCCTGTGGGAGAGAAGGGTAGGACAAAGGGTCAGCAGGCGAAAAAGTTAGAAGTAGATGTGCAGACAGGAGATAGGAAACATCCTGTGTGTAGGGAGACTTTAGGGCAGAACAGAGACAGGGGTCTGAAGTGTATCCTTCATCTCACACCCTATAGACTGGCAAGGTAGTGTTCATTATTTTGGTGTTCTCCTAGAGTTCAAGGTGTATTTGTCAAGCTGATGAAAGTTGAGGAAGTGAGTTGTAATTTTCTTGGTATTTATTCCCAGGGAAGACATCCCGGGAGGAGTGGAGAAGCTGTGTCGAGGGGAACCCAGCCCCCTGGGGGGAGCTGGCCACAGACAGCATCATCCTGACTGTGCCAACTACAGACCTCAAGACCTTGATGGATCCTGCACTTTTGCTCCACCTTTGGGATGAGATGATGCAGGCTATAGCCAGGCTGGCAGCCCAGCCCTTCCCTTTCCACAGACCCGAGAGGATTGTTGCTGATGTGCAGATCTCAGCTGGTAAGTGCCCCTGGGGAATGCTCCTAGTCAGGAGACAGCGTTTGTTTATTATAGTACCTTTTTTTGAATGTCCAAGACATTTGAAGCATAATTTTAAAAGTAAGGGAATAAGGACATGAAAGATGGAGACCATGATAGGGATGAAAGATGTTTACAGAAAAAAGGAAAACCATTGATGCCTATGGGGCGAGATTTCACAAGATATTAGAGCAGTCTCAGAAAATTGGTGCTGGGAGTTCACAAATATCATTGAGGATCATTTCCAGGAGAGCATACAAAAGGAACTGTTTCCTTGAAACCTAAGTCAGAGTTGAAAATGAGGCGCGCAAATGAGTAAAGAGGTTTGTGTTAAGTACAGAGAGCTTTAGTGGACAGTGAAACAGAGAAATTGGGAACTAGTTCACACACAGGGACCCGCTATTCTTGTGTTAAAAAAAAAAGAACAAAACTCTTTTCATAGTAGATTGCAAATTTGGAGAACAATCGTTGCATAGGAGAAGAAAATCCAGTGTGCACAAGCTTCCCAGATCTCGGATCCAGGCACAGGACATAATATCACACTCACATGCAGCGTTGTTTAGGAAGCATCCAGTTCCAGCAAGGATACTGTGTAAAGCATACCCATATTTTTCAAGGCCCTAGTGAGAAGGGTACAGCTCAGGCATGAGAAGCTGGAAAGCAGAGCAGATACTGTAGGAAAGCCATTTACCTTTCAACCAGCACAGAGATCCTGGAATCCCTAAAGACAACTAGAATGATGAGGAAAAGTTCCACAGTGGTGAGGAGGAAAGAGAGAAGGTTGGGGTGATTCCAAGCTTCACGCTTTGCCTCTCCCTTCTGTGTTGCAGGCTGGATGCACGCAGGGTACCCCATCATGTGCCACCTTGAGTCTGCACAAGAGCTCATCAGTGAGGCGGGCATGAAAAGCAGAGGCCTGTGGGGACCCATCCACGAGCTGGGCCACAACCAGCAGCGCCATGGGTGGGAGTTCCCCCCACACACCACGGAGGCCACCTGCAACCTCTGGTCAGTCTACGTGCATGAGACGGTCCTGGGTATCCCCAGGGCAAAGGCCCACCCTGCCCTGAGCCCTCCAGAACGAGAAAAGAGGATCACAGTACACCTGCAAAAGGGAGCGCCTCTGTGTGACTGGAATGTATGGACAGCTCTGGAAACATACCTGCAGGTACAGAGCAGAAATTCAGCGAGTGAGAGCCTTCCAGACCCTCAGTCAGTCGCATCCTTGTTCACAGGCACTTGTCAGCTCCTAAACCCCAGCAGCCTGTGATCACTGTCACCCTGGGTACGGCAGGTCTGGATGCATGTCATGTTTCTAAGGCTACCACCTGTCTGAACAGAGAATGACACCTGTCCTATGCATCCCCTATGGTTTTGCAGTGTAAGAAGAAATGAAAAAAATACATATTTTTCTATATTATATAGCATATTGGTTAAGAGTAGAAGCTCTGAAATTGAATCATAGCCCTTCCATTCGCTGATTTTATTCTTGTTCTCCTATTAAGTGTTCCATAGTACGTAGTCATTGCTTTTTATGTTTTATTTTTCCTCACTTTACTTTTTTGCATCAAGTGAGTGTTACTTCCCTTTATAATGAAGGGACATGTCTACAGGACAATTGCATTACAAAAACACATTGTAGGAGATAAATCTGCTAACAAGGTCCTCAGACTTCCATCACTCCATTTGAAAAGAAAATATTTTTTAAATAAATTCAACCCATTAGGAGAACACGGAAGTTATGAAGCAAGTCTAATTCCTGTAAAAAATAAGCATCAATCCCTGTACCCCTCCCTAAATCCTGCTTTCACTTTGAATGTTTTTGAATTGTCAAAGCTATTCCCATCTCTTGGATGTGTACTACAGCCCTATAGATAGGTGTTGCTTGGCCCACCTTTCACAGAGGCTCCTGCCAAATTAAAGAATTGAAGCAGCTTGTCCAGTAGCACCTGTTGAAGTGACAGGCATTGAACGTGAAATCAGGAGTGAATAGTAAGTCAGTCCCAGGCTTTTGTGCTCCCATACCCTCTCTTGACTCTTTTCCTGTCACCCATTTTTGGAAGAGTAAATGTGAGATGGTCGCAGTCAATAACTGCATTAAATGAGTGTCCATCTTCTCATATAACCAGCCTGATGGTCTGCAGGACAGCAGAACCACATGACAGATATGCCCTGAAGTGTAAGTCAGAGCCCTAATTCTGTTCTGTCCACTTGTCCTCTTGCTATGGAGCCCTGAGCCTCAGTTCACAAGGGCTTTGGAGAGACCCATTATCATCTGGGAGACTCAGTTTTAACACATATGCACCTTCCTCCACCCTCTGACGGTCTTTCCCCATCATGCCTGCCGCTGTTGCCTTAGCTCAGGCTCTCGTTACTCTTCCCTTGGTCTCATCCAGTGGCTTCCTCCTCAATTGTTCCAGCGTTACAATCCTCCAAACCCTTCTTCCATACCACTCTCAAAATAAGGTTAAGTTTCCATCTTTAAAACTCTTAAAGTATTCTTTTTCATGTACACGATACATTAGAAGCTTCTTGACAAGGTCTACAAGGACCTTTTGCCAACATTCCATCTTCATATTTTATGATTTCCTCACCTTCATATTTCCCTCCAGTAGACCAAGCTGCTTACAGTTATGAGCACACCTGGCTATTTCAGGTTCTGAGCTTCCCATGTGTCCTTCCTGCTGCCGAAACACACGTGAACATCTTTTCTGTTACCTATCAAGTCACCATTCAGAATTCAGCTTGGTTGTCCACTGCCTGGACATCACAAGCAGACCTTTCTAGCCATCTGTCTGTTTACATCTCTGTCCCTCCCACTGACCTGTACTCTCTAGAGGGACAAGACCACTGCATCATTTTTTTGGCCTGGCACAACACTTGACACATGGTAAACAACTCATGAATGTGACGTATTTAATAAATGTTTGATTTGTTAATACCAGAAGCCAGCACAGCAAGAGCAAGTGAGCAATGATGAGGGATGCCCGCCGTCATGTTTGATCTGTCCTTGGGCTGTTATATTCCAGATTCAGAGATTTCTTTCTCATCCTGGAAAGAGGGAATGGGGCTGGGAAACCCTCAAATTTCCGCTAATTCAAACATTCTGTAACGTTCCTCTGTGAAGTATGAATCACATTTCTTAAGACATTTCTAATTCTCTTCTTTTGTCCCCTAAAAGCAGGGTTCCACACAATAGTACCTTGTGAATACTGGGAGGCTTAAGATGGGTATTTAAAAATTATTGCTCTGCCTGGAAAATGTTTGAAGTTCGCCAGCTTTCGGGGTCCCAATAGGCTACATATGTAGGATATGAGGGATTCTCATCTCAGTCAGGCTTAAATCTGTCCTGATGCTAAGGTAAACACTGAAGAGCTGGAGAGTCTATTAAAAATTAAAAATAATGGTAATTGTCCTTTATTGAATTCTTACCCCTTTCAGACATTAGGTTTCCATGAATCTTACTACTAGAGTCAGGGTACATGGTTTGATGAGTAGAAGATGAAGTCCAGTGAGGTTGCATGTATTTGTTGTTGCCTGGTGGAACGACAGAGGCACATAATTGGAATGAAGCTAATGATGGAGAGAAAGAAGTTACTCACTGTAAAATAAATGTGCTTACCAACATGCATATTGCAATTACACTAGCAAATTTGGAAGCTCATTCTCCCCTTCTTCTTTCAGCTCCAGGAGACTTTTGGGTGGGAGCCATTCACCCAGCTCTTCTCTGATTACCAGACCCTCTCTGACCTCCCCAAAGACAATGCTGGCAAGATGAATCTATGGGTGAAGAAGTTCTCTGAAACAGTACAGAAGAATCTGGTGCCTTTCTTTCAGGCCTGGGGCTGGCCTGTCCAGAAGGAAGTGGCTGATAGCCTGTCCTGCCTTCCCTTTTGGCATGATCACCCCATGAGAGTGTACATGGATTCCAAGGAATAAAGGACAGCAGTGGGCATGGAGGGAGAAGAGGGACCCAATCCCATTGCTATTCTGCCACCGTGACCTTACTTGAAATGCTCTGTGCCTTGAACTGGCCTCCTGTTATTACTAGATTCTGAGGTTCTATGGCTTTTTCTAGGTTCTTCTTGTCATGGGCAAAGAATTGGACAAAATAAGTATGAAATGTAGCAAGGTTTCATGTATATTAAAAGTAGGAAAAGAAATATAGTCTGCAGAGCAAGTACGAGCCAATTAAAGGTAGAAGAAGTACACTGTACAAGGTGAGAGCACATCACCCTGCAAGAGAGAGCCCAATGATGACAAGGTTGATGCCAGCCATGTTCCATATCTCCTACTCCTCAGGCTGACCTTACCAGTGGTGGTGAAGCTGTGGCACACATGCAGCAGTGGGCTGTTTCTATCAGTGAATGTCTAAAAGGTTTGCTGTCACTGATTCTAGGTCATCCTATCAGAAACCTGTTTGAATTCTCATGAGAAGCATTCGAGATAGCATTTTCTGGTTGGCCCCAGTTGCAGAGCTTTGAGAATTATTTTTCTGCATATTTCCTGGTCCTCTGTCATTGACAGGTCACGCCCATTTGCTCAGCCAGTTTGCTATGCCCTAATCTCCTGCCTCACTTCTTCGCAGACTGCCTTCAGGATGATGGTCAAAGTCATAAAGACAAAAATGGAACCAAGCTTCTCAGGAATGTACCTTTATGCCTTCTTTGTAATGCTGTTGTACCTAGATAGAAACTTGCTATGTCATCCAGCAGAGTGCTTTCATCCTGCCTTCCTGAAACTTCTGTTTTTCATCAGTATTTCTAAAGGTCCTGAATTGCCATACTTTTTCACTTCCCCTCCTCTGCTATCCCAGAGCAAGTCTTCTAATTTCTTATGTTTTGAAAAAATTTTAATAGCAAAAGAGACAGGCTGATGTACTGGACAGAGCCATGGGCTAAGCTTGGTTCTGTGAACCATCAACATCCTTGTGTTTCCATGTTTTTATCCATGATATGCGTAAAGTACCTTTCTCTCAGGGATATTGTTTGATGCATCACGTGCTCCTCATGGAAATTTAACTATTAGCTTTCTCTAGCCCCACAGTAGCTTTCAGTGTCCATTTTAGTGCGGACATCCTGGACACTGAAACTCACTGCTATGTTGTCCCCCAGAGATTAGCATTCAGTCCTATAAAGGTGTTTATAGAATATTAATGTGGATCCCTGGTGTGGTATCAATAAGAATACAGTAACAGCTTGGTTCACGAATGCGTCTCTTTGCAAATAGTTTGGTTCATGTACACAAGTGTTCAGAAGAATTTTCCTTCCACTTGTCAACTCAGCTTCAGGTGGCAAACATGACCATGGCCAATTTTCCCACACAAACATGAGTGTGGCCATCTTCCCTACAATCACGAAATAAATTAAGTTCATGAACCAAGGTACCACTGTACTTGCTAGTGTACTAGCCCAGCTGACACTTTTTTTTTCTCATATCTGGAAGAATTCTTAGGTATAATTAAAATGGTGTGTACTCAAACTGAATGTGCTAGAGCTGCTGGGGTTTGATCTTTGGGGTTTATTCTGACACAGATCACTATACAGTCAGAGGATAAAAAAATTTCTTGGATTTTTACCTGTTCATTAAAAATATGATTTGTAGCTTGAATGACACATATCTGTAATTCCAGCAACCTAGGAGGCTAAATCTGGAGGATCACAAGTTCAGATAATTTAGTCTAAACTTAACAAGGCACATCCCAAAATAAAAAATCCCAAAAGAAAATGGAGAGGATTGGGCTGGGGATATAGCTCATTTTGAAGGCAAGGTTCAATCTTTAATACTAAAACTAAAAAAAACACAAAACTCTACATGATTTGTTCTTCCTTCTGAGGCAGCCAAGGACTTAAAAAGTTGTTTTTACTAAAAGAAAAAATGACTCTTCATTTGGGCCTATCAATACCCAAATGTAGTTAAAAGCAGGACAAAGATGGATCTTTATCTTGTATGTCTCCTTTGTCACCGTACATCTTTGAGTCAGATCCCTTGTCAACTCTGCTTAGAGGCAGAATCATTTTTAAGGGAGTGTCTGCTAAAAGTTGATGAGCCCTAAATTGACATAATATTGCATCCCCTTTTAAGACTGAGGACACCAAGATAACAGACTTACAGGAATACTCATTTACCTGTGATACCCGGAAGTCTCCAACTATTGCCCTAGACCTATAGTAGTCACCTTGTACTCTAGCAAAATCTACACTAAACAGACTTCCCCAAGCAGAAGTAATCATATTATGGAGACTGAATTAAGTGAGGACTCCACTAATCCATAAAAGTTGGTCTTATTCCTTTCTTAATGGGTCAGTCTGATCCTTTCAATCAGTTATACCCCTTTCACCCCTCAAGCTGAAATATCTTCTTTTTTTCTTCATAAACCTACTTAATAAATTGCCCCCCCTTCGGATTTCTGTGCTAATAATCAAGAACCAATCTGGAGCTAGTTGAGATTCCCCATTCCCTCTTTGGTGTACCGCTTTAGACCCTGACAGGTGACAGTTCCAACTTTTATTACTTTCTTTTTCTGACCAAAGAGAAATACCAGTTTAGCAATACCTACTATAAGCCTACTTGTTCTTAGCATAAAAGAAGTGACTGACTCCTTTGGTTACCATGGAATTGAGATTGTCTTGATTGTCAGAAGCCCACACACAGGGTGGGCTTCACTCTGGGACAAAATTCTGGAGGCATCTAAACCAAACATTCTCAATGACATCCTTAGTAACTCACCCTATGAGCTTCCCCGTAATCTCATTGTAACCCACTGTGACTCTTTCCTTATGGGGAGTTCTAACTGGAAATATATATTCAGCATTAATAGTTACATACCTAACCCTTTTTCTCAACCATATGCTTTTCAACCACATGTTTATTTTGTATGTCATTCTATTAGAAAGTTAGACATTGCCAGGTCTGAAGACAGGTGGCAATGAGCTACATGAAAAGCAAAGGAGACATTATTTTACCCTCTTTTTCCTTTGCTTTCTTAAACATCAACTGTAGTAGTAGTCAATTTTCCATTGCTAGGAAAAATGCAAGCCTGCTGTTAAAGAGAATTTTATTATTGTCTCACAGTTTCCAGTGGATATTTGTCCATGGCTGTTTGGCTTCAAAACACAGCATGGTACAAAGGGATGGCAAAGGAAAGCTTTTCACTACATAAAAAATAGGAAGCAGAAAAAGAAAGGATTCAGACATGAAAATACACCCAAGACATGCTCCCATGAGCTCTTCCTTTATACCTAGCCCAACTTCTAAACATAAAAGTTTGGTGGGATGGTTTAAATCTTAACAACAATGCTCCACTTCTGGTCCCCAAAAGGTTCATATCTATGTCATTATTAACAATGCCTTTAATCCATCTCTAAGACTCTTGCAGAACTTAACAGTTCCAGCACTGCTGAAAAGTCTTAAATTCAAAGTCTCCTGTGAGATTGAAGGCAAACTCTTAGCTGTGAGCTTCTGTAAAAATCAAAAAGAAAAGTAAAACTTCCAATGTACAATGAGGAAACATTCCCATTCCAAAAAGGAGGCATGGGAAATAGAAATTGAATCAAAGTAAAACTGAAATCCAGCAGGGTATATATTAAATCCTGGAGTGACATGTCCAACACCTGGAGAAGACTGACATGACTTGGGCATTGCAAAGGGTTTGGGCTGCCTCACTCACTACTGTATGGTTGGTTGTAGTTGACATGGCCTTTTGGGCTTCCTCAGCAGACATTCCACACTTCTAGCATCTGCAACTTCCTGGGTTCTCCCCTGTACCATTGACTTTGCTCCATAGCTTCATGCACTGCTCTCTCATAGGCTCCTGGCAGGGACTGTGTAACCCTATTCCTCTGAAATCTGCATGCAAGCCTCCATGACCCCACAACTCTTGCATTCTACATGCCTAAAATGCCAGCACCATGTGAATGATGTCAAGATTTGTTAAAGCTTTAAGAAATAGCCAAACCCTATTGGATCATGGCTTCTGTGGTCTCTGAGTGCCTGGATGGATGAAACTCAGGGACATACTTCTCTAAACAATCCTGAATAACATAATATCTCTGGGATCCTCCTCTCAAAAGAAAGGATTACACTTTGGCACCCTTGAGCATATGATGGGTGGGACCTTGCTGATTTCTGAGATGTCCCAAGACTTCTTTCTTCTTGTCTCTATACAAAGTGTTTAGATTGTATTTAGTGTTAATCTTTGAAGCAATCAAGATTTTATTGGCTCCAACTTTACTAGCATTTCATTTATGGCCACCAGGAAGACTTTCCACGTCTTTTGACTCCATTTATGCACCTGGTTCTCATTATAAATATGGCTAAAAGCAGCCAGTAGTACCCATGCCACAGCCTGCACATTAGCTGCCTTGAAATTTCCTCTGCCAAATTAATTAGTGTACCATTCTTATCTTAATTTCCTGAAAATTCTAAATAATGAGCTCAATTTAGACAAATTTTCAGCCACATGGCTTCTAGACCAACTCCAAGTGGAGGCCTTATTCCCAAATGAAACTTCCTTATCCTGTCCTTTGCTATTCAAAGGATTATTGTCTTCTGAACTATGACAAGAATTGCACATCAGGCACCACTCACAATATTCTATGACTTCTCTAGCTCTCATCTCCACAAACCAGTTCTAAAGGCTTCTGAACCACATAGTCAGGTACAGTCACAGCAATGCTTTCATGGCAAAACTTGGTACAAATTTTTGTATTAGTTAATTTCCTATTACTGGAAAAATATATCTGACACCTGTGGCTCAAAGAAGAGGTTTATATTGGTTCACAATTTCAGTGGATTCAGTCCATGGTCAGAAGCAACAGGATGAAAAGCATGGTGGATCAAAACTGTTCACCACATGATAACCAGGAAGAAGAGTAAGAAGGGAGGCTCCAAGGATTACAATAATCCTCTCCAAATCAGCCCACCCAGTGACCTGCCCCTTTGGACCAGGCTCACCTTCAAATGTGAGATTTTGGGGGGACACATTAGTGGTTCCAATCTTTAGCCCTTGAGAATGTTCTCTTCTCTGAATGTGCCAATAAGGTCCAGGGCCTATATAAAGTCCAGAGCATAGGTGAGAGCCTGGAAAAACATCAAATTCTCAAAACAGAAAATTAAACAGAAATCATCCACATACCATGCAAATAGAGGTTTTTCCCCTCTAAAGTAGATCAACACAGACAATTTTCCTCTTACAAGGCAGTGACCTCAAAGAAAAAAGAAAAAGATATTCCTTGAAAGACCATTTAATCATATAAGTGTAACCTCAGATCCCATTAAGTGCAACTGCCATCTCCTCACTTGCTCCACCTTCACACTTGAAGGTCTATTATTTCTCTTGCTCTGAAAGTCTATAATTTCTCAATAAACTCTACCTGTACTTAATAGGATGTCCTATGTGTTTTGTCTAAAATCTTTTGCCCAAGACATAAAGAATGGAGGTATGGTGTGAATAATCTGCAATAATACATAAGATCCTAATAAGATTACTGACATTCAGAAATGGGAAGAAAGGAGCTAAAGGTGTAGGGAAGGTGGGATGGGTAGGGGAAGGGTAATAAGGGAAAGGAAAAAAATGTGAGATAATGAAAAGATGAAAATAAAGTGTTTGTAGATGGGGAGGGGAGGAGGGGGTGAAGGGAGGGCAGGGGTAAGGGGAAAAAATGAGAATCAAGGCGTCATGCAGCGGTACAAAATCCCAACAATGAATGTAACTGTACTGTATCCCTAAAATGTACCAATAAACTCAATTAAAGCTGAAAAAAAAAGAGTGGAAGTATGTTGCTAGTTCCTCCCAGTGTTAGGACCAACCTTTCCAGTAACAATTTTATAAATTTCCTTAAAAGAGAAGGGCTCTTTAAAAGGAGAACTGAATTAGAGAATATCACTTTCTGAATCCTATCAGCACAGCTTTCTCTATTCCAAGCTAATTTTCTTTTATTTCACAAATATCCTTTGTTAGATGCCTTCCACATGAAATATGCTCAGGAAATATTTGTTAAGTGAAAAAACAGGAAAAATATCTAATGTACAATGAGCAGTCTATTGTAGGCACTGTGTGTTTTCTGTGAGTTATTTTATGTTATATTCTAACAGACTTTTGAGGAAGGTAGCATTGCCATCGCCATTTCATAGATGAGCAAATTAATACTGGGATATTAAATAACTTTTCTTTACTCACATAGGTAATAAAATGAAAGAGTCAGAGCTTAACGAATGCACACAATAAGGAAAACTGTGGAGATTATGCTTCATGAATGATTTACAATTTAAATAAAAATTCACCTAGAAAACAGCTGAAAGGAAGTTCAACAAAGCCCTGAATTTTTCCATGTTCATTATTTGAGTTTGATCGAATACCATACTTAACTTCCAAAATGTGTTGATATCTGATTTTCAGCATATGCTCTGT